GTAGCTTATACAATGAAAAATAATGATAATCATTACAGAACAGACGGGGGTCCTTCCGTCCTGGATACATCTTGATATTGGGGGCTCTCGTGGTCTAGAGGTCACGGTGTTCACCTCTCATTCAATAAGTCCCGCGTTCGAAACCTGACAGCGACGAAAAATGTTCTCCTTTCACCTCATTTCCTGTCCTCTAACCTAACCACGTTCTGTCCTCTGTTTTTGTCTCCACTTTCTGCCCCCCCCCATCTCCCTCTTGCACCCTCCTCTGGGTTCCTGGCTCTTTCTGCAGCTTTTCTACAGCTACTCTTTGGCTCCTTCTTACTGCTGCCTTTCAGCCACATCCCTGGTCTTATGGTAGGTAAGATCTAACACCTAGCCTTCTTGGATAAGGGCAAAAAATCTCGGGGGTCCCGCGTGTAAGATCCCGTGGTGGTCCTAAAATCGATTAGAGTGGGCTTCGGCCACCACCCGGGCAAAATTCAAAATTCCTACCATACTGAAAAAGTGTAATGTGTCCTGCGCGCTCATAATACACGTATGGCCTTACGCGGTTGCGAGCGCCGTAAAACACTTACCAAAACAAAAACAAAAAACATCTTGACAAAGCAGAAATTATAGAGTGAAGACTACACAATTCTCTTTCTGCATCAAACCAATACCACGTTTAATGCATGTTTATTGTCTACTAACAAATCAAGTCTTGGTTATCTAAAACATAGAATGCAACAAACGGCACATTAGAAAAAGACTAGAACACAATTGTGCATGGAGTACAATAATCTCCAACAACACAGTGAAACATCAGCAAGAAACTGTTCTTTTTTAAATGTGTCTCTCAATCTTATAGGTTAGTGTATGGCATTTCACTCGATGAAACAACACAACTGAAACTGAATGAATAAATCCTAGACGATATTCACAAATAGACACTGCTAGAAAAATTCAACAAATACAATTACAAAAGAAAAAAAAACAACAACCTGAAGTGAACTTTAAAGATTATACAGAAATCTGGTAATCTCTTGATATGTAATGTCAAATGCATATATATGTCGTTCAAAACACCTTTTTTCAGAATTCACGCAAAAATGTAACTAATCAGCAACTGTGAATTTCCACAAGAGACAATAAATCGTTGCAGTCGTAGATCAGTGTAACATATGTCCACCCCCCCCCCCCCCCCCCCCTCTCTCTCTCTCTCTCTCTCTCTTTCTCTCTCTCCCCCTCCCCCGTCAGGTGATCAAAGCTTATCATGATGAGGGACACTCCGTCCCGACATCCATTTCTGACTATCAAGAAAGCACCCCAAACTACATTCACCAAAGTCCTCCACGGAATAAATATTACACACGATCATAGGAAGCACGCCTCTGTACAGACTTATACCATAACAACCTATTGCTGCTGCTTACTTTATTTAAGTAAATTAAAAGTTGAATTGTTCGCACAATAGTCGGAATGTAAGAACTAAGCAGGTCAGCCTTTTGGAATGGGTTGGATTTTTTTTCAAATATAGGTATAGGAGGCAGGCTGCAACCCTGCCTGTCCTAGCCAACTTAGGCTGAGAGGGATACATCAGCCCAGCAGAAAGACTGAGATTCATGTACTTGATAAAAATTCCCCCTCCACAGGAATGGAACTCAGGTCTTCTTTGTGCCATGGTCAAGGGCCTAACTGTTAAACCTCAGATGCCAGTTGGGGGGTGAGGGGGGAGCTTATGTTCGCAAATTCAAAACTCACTAATATTTTTGGAGCCTTTGCAGAATCTTAGAAGACTTGCATGCTTAAAGGGGAAGAATAGCAAGTTTCTTCCTACACCTATCTCACATTTGAGAAAAGTCAGATCATGGTTGATTCAGGGAGTGGCACTGAATCAAGTCACTAAACATTTGAAAAATCTCGATCATCATCAAGCAGAGTCCCTTGCATCAGTAGGATCAAGCCTGAATAAACATATTTTAAGATACAATAAATCTTCTAAAAGCTCTGTACACTTCATTCTCATACGAAATGGGAAATATGACACACTTCGCCTGTAACCAAATGAAAGAAACTCAAACATTGAATGTTATTTCGTTTTAAAACAACACAAATATTGACCAAGAAGAAGCCTTTTTTCCAAATTTTGCCAGTCTCATTGCTTTCTTTTTTTTTTTAAATTTAACCATGTCTAGAACAGTACATCAGTACAAAAACAAAAACAACTGAACAAAATGAATGGTCAGTTCTTCTTCTACAAACAATAATGCATATACCTTGTATTCAAACAGTACCCTACACCAATCCACGCCAAAAAAATGGCACAATAATTCATCATCAACATTAACAGAAAATATAGGGTAAGAATCTCACTAGATTACTGGCCATATATCATATATATATATATATATATTCCAGCACTTTCCTTGATATGATTTGGGGGGGGGGGGGGCAATATGGTTGTAAAAGCTGGACATTTACCAAAGACATGCAAACTAATAACTAGGATATAATAAATTACTTACCGATATTTAGCAACACAACACAGCTTAGTGTTACACATTTTATTAAAGTTATTACTTATTTTTAAAGGCTTTCCTGAAAAAATAGTTTATTTCCCTTGCAGAGTATTTGGCTAGGGTGGCAGAGTAAAGAATAAGGCTCCAAAACCACATTACTGAACTGAACAACAGCTGCGAAAAATTTAACAGGAAAATAAGCACATCAAAAAGAGAAGTTATGAAAGTGAGCCGAAACCGTAGTCCCCTGAACATCCATGTCATAGTAAACAACTGAAACAGGTGAAGGAGCTTAAATATCTTGGCAGTACTTTTTCTGAAAGCGGGTCCATAGACAGAGAAATAGAAATGCGAACCCTAAAAGCAAACACTGTCACATACCAGCTCGCACCCTTCTTATCTCATCCAAACATCTCCATGGACACAGAGAGACAGCTTATCAACCATTCATACTTTCAGCCCCACCAGTGAGGGGTGGTGCCATTCCCTCTAACACACTCAAAAAAAAATTAAACAAAAACAAATCCGACACTACAGGGCCATTCTGAAAAGAAATAAGGAAAGAACAAAAAAGTGAGGAAGGGAGGCAGAGGAAATACATCACGATAAGTGTCACACAAGGGCAACTGTGCAACAGTTCCTATTCTAGCCCTTGAAAGGGGGGGGGGGGGGAATAAGTCTCATCTCAGGAGAGTTGTGTGACCATCTATTATCTCCCTAGCCCCCTCCACCACACCCCATCCTATCCTTAACTCACTTGAGCCTGAGCTATTTTTTCACCCAACAACCATTGCAGCCGGACACTGTTGTGTTATATCGAAGCATTAACCAAAAAAAGACTGTGAAAGCTATCATAATTTAAAACTGCAGAAAGAGAAAGACAGAAATGCTCTCACAGAATAAGAAAACTGTATCTAATTAGTCAGAATAGTTTGTATCTTATCAATATTTTGAAATGGCAATGTCTGGGGGTTACGCAATTTTTTTGTTTGCTCAATTTTTAATAAAATCATCTATCGCAGTGTGGGGAGACTGACTTAGTCCGTTACAGCTCAAAATGTATCACACATAAATTCACCAAATTTTTCATGAAACGAAACAAGTGAGTCAACTGTGGTTTGTTTTAGCGTTTTACAGCACTTGCAGCACAATAAGGTCATATAAGTGCGGAAGATTAGAGGTGTTACAAGAGAGTAACAAACACAAAAAAGAAGGAGGGGAGATAAAGACCATAGAGGTTTGATAGGAAAGAAGAAAGAAGAAAACCACACCAGAGCACCCGCCATCCACCCACGTCAACTGTTGGCACAGCGTTTCCAGTAGCTTGTGACTGAAAAACAATGGAGAACTCGATCGATAAAGCGGATCCCATAAAAAAACAGGATTAGGCCACCGGGCCGGCAGGGCATCCCCTAAATACACGGGAATAGGCTCAAGTGAGTTAAACTTTAACAGCGGGACATGTCCAAGATGACCACCTAGTCCAAGAGAAAGGTTCTTATCTTATAAATGTGATCTCTTACACAGTGTCACGATGGCAAAAATACAAGGAAGGAAGTAGAAAGTGGTTGTTCCTACAGGTGAATGTCTTGGACAGGAGGTTGACTGTGTTACCAAAAGTTTCCATCGCCATACTCTGCAGAGAACTTGTCAACGAGTTATAAATCAACACAAGAATTCTTTGGACAGAAACCACTGCACAGTTGCCGACCATCAAAACAAATCTGGAGAGCACAATTTAAGCAGAACGTGAAACCAGTGAACCGACTGCATAATGATTTGTTCTAAAAGACATAAACAATCAAGAAAAGCATTAAAAAATTAACAGACACAACTGTTGTTGTTGTTTTTTTAAAATAACAAAACAAAATGTACAGAAAACACAAAGTCCATGCCATTTTGTGAAATAAGCACAAACAATGGTACGTAGCATCACCACAGCACGAGGACTTGGTACTAAAAACACAGATGTAAAAAGAGTACAAATCATCTAGTTGCATAACACTACAAATATTAGAATGCTGGATTGTGTTTGCATATCAAAGTTTATGACTACAGTAGAACAGAAAAAAAAATCAGCCAAATGTCCCAAAGTTTAGCACCACCTGTCAGAAAACTAAAGTCATCTTGAATTTTGTTTAAAACATCTCCCAGGGCTGCCTGAAAGAGAAGCACATCAGCACCATACCTGCCACTTAGCGATGGAAATGATTGTGTATTATATCATGTGTTCAACATCCTCTTATGAGTACTATTTATATCATCCAGGAGGCGGAAGGCTACCATGCTGCCTGTCAGAGCCAACCCAGGCTGGCATGGGGAAAAGCTACACCCCAACAAAAGGACGGAAAAACTCTACAAAATATTTCCTCATGTCGGAATAGAAATAATGACACTTGCGAGCAATGAAAAGAACCTTAACCATAACACAGAAGATTTTGTTAGTGCTGGGATAAACAAGACAGACAGACAGACAGACAGACAGACAGACAGACAGACAGACAGACAGACAGACAAAAGCAACAAGGGTATGAGATAGAAGTAGGACCAACCAGTGGTGCCTTCCAACCACCCAAAGATGTTATGCAGAAAATGCCACCAACAGACGGCATGATCATCAGAATCTATAGGATTATAAACTAAAACGTTTGCTTTCGTAAACATAATGAAGACATAAACCGTAACATATGAATTAAAAAAGAAACTCGAAATATTTGGGAGAGGGAACATATCTCAAATTTCCAGACCTTGACCGTGTGGTCTCTCAAACTTCCAGACCTTGATTGTGTGGTCATGTTTACCGGCCATTGAACTCCAGGAAAAACAGCTGGTAGGAACTAGAGTAAGTCCTCCAAATAATCTACAAACACATCAGCCACTGCATTTTATTTACAGAGACTGTTATGGGGGAAAAATGGATGGAAGACTGCACACCAAATTTAAAAAAAAAAAAAAAAATTGTTCACACCCCCAAATCAATCAGACACATATTCAATGTAGGAAAAAGGCAGCAAAAGGGCAAAACGACAGGATGTAAGTAGAACTGCAGTCTCCAACCTCTACTGATTGTCATATATCAAAAGCTGATTTACAGAGTTAAAAAATTGCTAAAGATTTCGAAAACGGAAAGCATTGATAACGAGCTAAAAACCAACAAGAAGTAGTTAACATTTGTTCTGCACACTTCACATGTATACAAGATAGATAGTGTCCTGCCTGTTCTCGAGAAAAAAATATGCATTTTTTCCTGCAAGGGAAGCTATGAATACCAATTCATTTACAGCTACATGAGCCAAGATGCACTGAGCTTTCTGTGTCATATTTTTGGTAAAGAACGTGAGGTTCTTTTATGTTGCCAGAAGTAAGTTGAATGTCAAACGATACATTGGAAAACGACACACCAAGAACAGAACAAAAACTGCATGGACAGCATTCAGCACGGCGAGGCGACAATGTCTGGTCTAGTCATCGTCATGAGGCGGCCGCCGCGGGCACCGGCATGGGTGTCTCCACAAACACACTGTCGCTGTCCTGATCATGGCTGACCGCTACAATGTCCCCACTCACGTTGATCAGGCACTGACCCTGAGAACAAATAGTTCAATCATAATCAGGCATGTACAGCGAAGAAAAGAGAGAGCTCTGAATAAGTTGTAACTAAGGAAAGTCTACGCAAAAACTGCTAAAATTCACCTTTAACATAGATCTACTATGACGATAGTGACAGAGATACAAAGTGGAAGAGCAGACCACATCAGTCTTTGTGTTCAATAGAGTAGAATAAGGAGAAAAAGTCTTTAAAAAAATATTAATCTAATCTTGAAAGCAATGTTGTTTTCTAAAAGTACAGACTGCACATTCGGCTTTTCTTTTCATCCATATAAACTGCACAAACTGCTCTTCTTTTCATTCAAGAAACTGCACAAACTGCTCTTCTTTTCATTCAAGAAACTGTATGTTCTAGTTCATGACTTGCACCCCTGGACGCAGATTTGTGAAGTTTCAACAAAAAGTGATTTTAAAAAGTCAAGTTGTTGTGTGGATTCCTGTAAAAGTTAAAGGTAAATTTTTTTCACAAAAAACATGGATACAAAAAGCTAAGAGGAGGGGGGGAGGGGAGAGGTGGTTAAGAGTGTTGTCTGATGATTAAAGAAAATAGTTTTTCCAGTGAGAGTTGAAGAAGGCATGTGAAAAAAAACACACAAAAAAGAGTTGTAAGATCACAAACCTGGTTTTTGTGAGGGTTGTTGTCTAGCACACACTGGGACATGTTGTAAGCCACCAGTGCGTTGCCCCCAAGAGCAGCCACGTGGGCTCGAACTATGGCCATCACCTCCAGTACGAAGCTCTGCATGAAGCCGCCTACTCCACCACACTGGCCAGAGAAAAAGTAAGTATAATAAAAGGATTCAGGGACCTGGCATTAGTTTTTTGGGGATGGTTTTGGGTTTTTTCAGTCACATGTCCCCTTTTTTAGGTGTTGAGCATCTTCACTGAGTAACAATAAAATGTCCCCATAATGTTTGTTAGATAATAAATGTGAGCGGCAAGAAAAAGGTACCAAAAGTTGCCCCAGACCGTTTTGAGCTACAGGCTGATAATGACATAAATCACTGTTTTCACAAAATGGGTTTCCATTTAAAAAAATGATAGATCCACCATTTTATTACAATTAAATGTGCTCACAGGGTTTTCATTGATTTGACTTCTAAATATTTTATTTTGAACTATTTTCAGGGTATGGTATAATAAAAACAAATAATGGAAACTGCTTTTAAAAGGTCTTAAAATCTATTCTTGAAGCACGTTTTCTCTTCCCTGCAATGTTCATTTTCCATGAATAAATACATTTGAAAAATTGTTTTTTTAAGTTTGTATGAGTTCTCACGTTTGTTAAACTTAAAAGCTCATTTTCTCAAAATTCTATCTTTATACCTTACCTCACAAAATATGCAATATCTCAAAAACTTCTTGAGATATCTAAAATATTCAAAACCCCCTGTGTTCTGTATTCAATTTCCTATAAGGTAAAACCCTTAACTCAAAATGGTCAAAATCCGACTTTTGGTGCCTGTCTTTAGGCATACACACAATGTTCCTGAGAGTTTTCTTTCTCTTGTATAAGTTAAAACAAAAGATTGAACAATGTTTGTTGCCATACCTTGCATTAGTTCAAATAAACTAGAGTCTATGGTCCAGCAAGACAAAAATATCTTTGACACTTCAGGCTTCTGGCTCCATACTACTGCTGAAGTGGAAAATTTGACACATAATATTTGATTTTCCCAACTGTCAAACACGCATCTTATCTTCTGAAAAGCGCAAAATATCTTTTACCTTTGAGGGGCCACAGCCTGTTAGCGGAGGTACTCTTAATTGTCTTATTCAACTGGAGTTTCCAAAGCTTTGGGCAGGGATTTACATAGAACTTTCCAAGGCAGCTGGCCCTGGCATTCCTACTTACTGTTCTTGAATTCCCCCCGCTATGTACGTGGACACAAACTGAAGGAGTTACTATAGCTTGTTCACTTTCCTCTGACCACGGCTAAAACATGATAAAATAAAATTGCTCGGTTCAGTCTTCTCATATCTTTGCACACAAGTCTAAAAGTTGGATGACCAACAGAATCTAAAAGCCCAAATTAAGTTTCCGACACGTTTTCTTTGATGAAAACCTAAAGCAGGTAAAAAATTAACAGGGGATTTACGGCATACACCCCTAACACTACAAAGTTGACATATTTTCATAAACACCACACTTTAACGCTTGCCTATGAAACACAGTCCAACAAATGTGTGAGTACTTTTCGAGACTCACGTGAAGATGTCTAGACAGCCGTGGGATGAAATATACAAGCTTACACTGAAATGTGGGGACAGGGTGGTGTCGCTGGTTAAAATTAGCAATTTGTAGGCTAGATTACAGTAAATCATTTACTTTAGTGACCCTGTGTACGCATGCGCCCAAAGAGCAGGTTTTAATAAAAGGCCCAAATAGAGAAACATTTTTATTACTGGAACAAGATTTTTTAATTTTTTAAATTTTTGTCTGGTCGCCTGCCTGCAGAAGTGCCATGCAAAGTTTCGTGAGTATAGGTAAATTAATCTTTTAAAAGCAAAGAATTTTTTTAATGCGGAAAAACGAATGGGAACTAGCTATAACTCAATTGTGAGTTCATTTCTCAGAACTCACCTCTCGCACTGCTGTGCTCTCCCGTATGAAGAAAAAGTTGTAATAACCCAGGTACTTCTCGATGCGCCCATTGTAGACCACGTTCAGAGGTGTCAGCTCAATGCCAAGCAGCGGCTGCAGACAAATTAAATGAAAGTAGAAATGTAAAAACTTAACAGAGAAGTACACTGAGCTACTGTCGCAGGATCTTTGATGTAGCAGTTAGGCGCTTCGCCTGCTTTCTATTCCCTAACAGGAAGGTCTTTTATTTAGTATCTCCTGTAGTTTTAGTACAATTTTTAGAACACCTGCAAAACAATAAGGTCATATAAGTGCAAAAGATTACAGGTGTTCAAGAGAGTAACAAACACAAAATAGAAGAAGGGATCACGATGATAGATGCTTGATAGGAAAGAAGGAGCACAAACCATACCAGAGCACCCACCAACCATACGCCAAGTATCTCCATCTGTCTGCTGGGACGTTGTACCCAAGTTGGCCCTGACAGGCAGGGTTGAAGCAGCAAGCCTCCTAAATGATCGAAATTGTGTCGATGGAGGCATCACCTTCTGATCATCATTGAGTAAGAGGAAAAAGCAAGAAATGACCGGCAGAAACAACACAAGTTGTTAGGTTTTTTTTTCTTCAAGGATTTCTTACCATTTCAAACTCTCTTTATAACACAATAAATGGGTACAAGTACTACACTTGACTACGGATGAGTTGACGTAATTAGAAGGGGGGAATCAATTCATCCAAAGTTGAACTAAACCGTTGGGACCAGTTTTCGTTTTAGTAGCAATTTTACGGCATTTGCAACACAACAAGGTAATAAAAGTGCCGAAGACTAGAGGTGTTACTAGAGAGTAACGAACGCAAAAAAGAAGGAGGAGAGGTCAGGACAATAGATGTTCGATAGGAAAAAAGAAGCAAACCACACCAGAGCACCGGCCAATCACCCACATTGAGACCTGTAAAGTCAAAGAGGTTCTGGGAAGCGAGAAAAAGCTCAACTCCTCTGAATATCAACTCAACCGAGTTCAACAAAAGCAGAGTCGATTGTATATGGGTTCAACACCCCTTTCAACAGTCTGAGGTGAGGTAGGAGGCCAGACATCCAAGTTCAAAGTCCATCTCAAATAGGAACAAACTAAGACAGGGGACAGCCTTGAAAACTCCTCACACAACCAGACTTTTTCTGATGTTTTTGTTTTTGTAAGAGTTTTACAGCACTTGGAACACAATACAACTAGGTCACATTAGTGCTGAAGATTAAAGGTGTTACAAGAGAGAAACAAACACAAAAAAGAAAGAGAGATAAGGACAACAGGTGTTTGATAGGAAAGAAGGAGCAGACCACACCTGAGCACCCGCAAACCACCCACTCTTTTTTTTTTTTTTTTGTCGTTTCAGTAAAGAGAGGTACATCAATACAGTTATAGTCATTAAGTGCTGGGAAAAAGTAAGACGGATAGAGAGAAGAAACAAAGGGAAAGAAAAAAAGGGAAAGAAAAAAGGCTAGGAATTTTTTTCTAAGCAGCAAACAAATACGGGCTATAAAACAGCACTAGCAGATGAGCCAAAGCTGGCTTACAATGCGATCGAATGCAACAACAATAACAACAACAACAGTACCGTATCAAAACAACAACAAAAGCGACAGCAACAATATATTAGCACAGAGACAAGGACTCTCTTTTAAAGAAAAGAGGCGTACCTCGACAAAATGCAAGAAATAAACATGACTGCCAGACAGAAACGACAGCAAAGAAGTAGGACTTTCCAGTGGTGCCCTCCAACCCCCCGCTGAGAAGGACAAGGCTGATTATACTTCAGGAAGACAAGTCAAAGCCCGGCCACTAAGAGGCTTTATAGCAAAAACAACAACTACAATACAACCACAACAACAACAACAACAACAAAACACCCACAACAACAACAACAACAAAAACAAAACATACTGGTACACATTATAGCAACCGGCTGATGATATCTCAGAGATCAAGATTATTCTTGTTTAACCAAAAGCTGAAGGCACTTACAGGTAACTTCTGTTTTGGGACCTCTTTCAGCTGCTTGAGGGCTGGGAAAGAGAGAGAGAGAGAGAGAGTGAGATAGAAAGAGAACAAAAAGCAGAAAGTTATTCTTAAAATCCATTCAAAATTTGAAATGTCTACTCTAAAACACTTTTACATTAAACTGTTTGCATCAAACTTTCATTTTCATAATAGGCAGAAACATTGTTTTTTTGTGTGTCAGTATACATGTACATGCTTTACTTGTCTCAGAAATACCTTGATGTGTGCGGTTGCATCTTAAAGAGAAATCTAAAAAGTTGATAAAATAACAATAATAATGGTAGTAATAATAATAATCATCATCATAATTATAATAACAAATATAATAATAATAATAATAATAATAATAATAATAATAATAATAATAATAATAATAATAATAATCATAATAATAATGTATGATGAACAGATTCTTTATATTATTATAAAATATAATTATTGTAAAAGTGCGCTATATATGCATTCTGTTATTCTCATTATATTTCATTATCTTCATTTCATAATAATAATTATAAAAACAACAATAATAATACATATAAATAAAACTTTTTAAAAATATCTACGGCTGTAGCAACATTTTCACTCAACAAGCTACTGAAGTATAAAACTATAAGTTTTAAGAATGAGGCCAACATCCACACAACAGGCAATAATTTGAAAACTCCCACTACACGGAATATACAGAGGGTTACTTCTTAACCCTATCCGTACGTCGTGTTTTACTATCGTATCCATAGGATGTGGGAACTGTGTGCCACCACTTTCCAAAGAGGAAATTTACTCGTTAATCTGATTCGTACGCTTTGCATAGCAGTCTGTCAAAATGATTTTTGAGAAATAATGAAAGTTTCAAAGAGATCTTTGTACCAGAACTATTCTGAGATGTGAAGAATACAACCCCGAGGGTACAAAAGGACCCCAGGGCGTACGGATAGGGCTAAAATGATGGGGTTTTAAAAATAATAGGGGAAGGAGCACATCACAGAACTTACATCTGCCGAGCTGACTGGGAACACTGGCCACACGGCTGCAGCTGGGAGGAGCTGCCGGCTGTGCAGGGGGCTGGGCTGAATCTCGAACTCCGTCCAATGGGAACATCATGTCATCCGTCTGGTCACTTTGTGTAACAGGAGCCGAGGCTGGGTGGAATTGTTAGTGTCTTGAAAAATTTTTTTTTTTTAATTTTGTCATAATAATAATAAAAGTAATAGATAGCATTTGTATAGCGCAAATCCCCGCTCAACAGCAAGCTCTATGTGCTTCACAATCTAAACTATTACCCCAGCAGATCTGAGAGCATTCTGAAACAAACTCAACTTCCTGGGAAGCATACAGTGCAAGCAGCCATTTATAGGCGCTAAAACACTAACATAGCAACAAGATCTTTCGCTATCTATGGCCGGGTACCCATTTCCACCTGAGTGAAGTGAGGAAATTCGTGTAAAATGCCTTTTCCCAAGGGCACAACGTCGGGCCTGCGGCTCGAACCCCCGACCCCGCAACCTCACGATTATGAGTCCGGTAGCGTAACCACTACGCCACATGATATTAACCAAACATTCATGTATAACGGTCAGAACATGATATGTTATTGTGTAAAGTGACATCTTATTGTGCAATTTAATACCTGAAAATAAATACTTATATAAATGTCTGTACTTTCTCAAGACTTTACTGTTCAATAACATAGCTTTTCTTTTGAGTCCATCTCTGCCAAGTGTAAGAAAAATTATTTTTTTCACTCTTCACTAGACATCTGTTTCTCTCCTTATGATAATCAAAGTTATCCTGATCCATCTTTTAAAAGAATAATAAATGTCCTGCTATTTGGTCAACCATATTGGTAGTCAAGAGAACTGGCTTTGCATTCTTTGTATAACCATAACGATTATAAAAGTTTACTATGAGACAATGTAACAACAATTACAACCGTGACATTTCACAGCCAGTGAGCGAGAAAATGGCTACATTTTGTAAGGAATACACTAGAACAACAGGAGCACTAAACAGAAGTAGAAGAGAGAGAAACTAAGGCCATACCTGCGGCATGAGTAAAAGTTACATATAGCGCTGCCAACAACCATAACAGGAAGGGAATAGTAACGATACAGGAAATCTTCAAAGGAAATATCTGCTTGTGCGCGGCCTTTGACCAATCTCTCAGTTTTCTTTCAGTTTTAGTAAGAGTTTTATGGCACTTGCAACACCAACAGGTCATATTATAAGTGCTGAAGATTTAAAGTGTTACAAGACAATATTGTATAAATAAAAAAAGGGGGAAAGATAAGGACAAGAGATGTTTGATAGAAAAGAAGGAGCAGACCACACCAGAGCACCCATCAACCACCCACTCAGTCTCTCACCAGGTTTGACTGACTCGTTGAGTCGAGACAGAAGTTTGGTGGTACTGTTGGACGTGGAGTTTGGCAGGCTGCTCTGGTCCTGCACACCCAGGCAACAGCCTGTGACTGCAACCTGAAAGGTTCAAGAATGAATTTAAGCACACACACATGCACAGATCCAAACACAGACCCACACACAGGCCCACACACAGACAATCATACACAGACACATACACGCACACACAGACCCACACACAGACACACACACACAGACCCACACACACACACATACGCAGACCCACACACAAACACATACATAGACACACATACATACATAGACACATACACACACACACGCACACACACAAATAAAGATCCAAACACAGATACAAACACAGACACACATACATAGATACATACATAGACACACATACATAGATACATACACACACACAGACCCATACACACAAGCCCATGCACAGATCCACTCACAGACATATACACAGACACATACACAGACACATACATAGACACACATACATAGACACATACATACATACACACACACAGACCTACACACAGACACACATACATAGACACATACACACACACGCACACACACACACACACTCACACACACACACACACAGACACATACATACGCACACACACGCACGCACACACACACACATACACACACAGACACGTACACACACACACACACATGCACCCTCATAAAAAGATGGTTTTTAATCTTTGAGAGCTTCTGCCGTACAAGGACAAGTACCATCAGGAAGTTCTAATCCTAAGGACTCACGTTGACTTCATCTTCGTCTGGAACATCCACAGTGAAACAAATGTCCGTCAGGCAGCAAGGCTTCAGGTGACGCATCTTGAAGCACATTCTCTGGGGAAGACACAGCTGCCATCATCAATCGAGACATTTTTCCATCTTTACACAAGGCTTACTTCTCCCCCATTTCACACACACAAATATACATGGACACACAGACACATACATGCACGCATGTACGCACGCACACAAGCACGCACACGCACATGAGCACACACACGCACGCGCACACACACACAAACACAGACACACAGACACATACATGCACACACACACACACAGACACACACACACACAAACACACACACACACACACACACCATCACTAATTCCATCAACTAAATACAAATACGAGGCCTTTGTCATATAAGGGCAAAACTTTCATTCACTAAATATTGCTAACTGTACTGTCATTTTCAATATGATTACACATACATTACGTATGTATTTGCATGCCATACCTAAACCTCATTTCCTAGTTTCTCTGTGTCCCATAATGTTAATATACAAAAGAATCAACAGTCTGAACAGAACTATACAACAGTTGTTTTTTGTTTTCTTTGACGGGAGCATTTTCCTTTCATAAGTAACTTCTCTCGAGAAGGAGTCAAAACGGCCTTTTGCCACCTTCCAATCCCCTTGAATCTGTTCCATTTTTTTTAGAGAACTCTATCATTTCTGTTCATTCCTTCCAGCAGAGGTTCATTAAAGTATATCTCATCTGATCAAATGTTCTTAAAGGTTCTTTCTTTCCCATCAGACATTTATTTTTTGTGGTGAATTGGTTAACACACAGCCAGAGGTACAAAATATCCCATTTGGTCACCCAGCAAGAAGAGTGACAGCAGAACTGCACCAGGGGACCAGAACAGATAATTTTCACCGTCGCATTGTTGTGCCAAGCAACTGCAAGATGTTAAGCATTTGCCATTTGCTTGCAGAAGACATTAGTTCAGTTCCCATGGG